CCTCAGAGGGGAGGCCCTCCGCTCAACAGAGCAGGTCACAGCCCTTCTCCTCAGGACAGCCCTCCTGTCCGGACGAGCCCCTCCTCCCCGATCTGGCAGTGCAAGCTGAGCGGGCGGGGAGATCGGAGCAGGTGAGGAGAAAGTTCAGGGGACACGGTCCAGGCCCCATCTCCCTGGTCAGCGGCAGGCTTCCAGGTTCCGAGACTTTCCCGCCTCCCGCACGTCACCCAGGCCAGGAAGGCGCGTGGCAGCGAGCGCCCAGGGGAGCAGCCTGGCTTTCTGAGGGACCGACAGTCTCAGACCCCAGTCCTCGACCCCAAGACAGGCCTCACACCTTCGAGCGGTTGTGCGGACGGAGTGGACAAGCTGGGCTCTGTCCTCGGTGCCACGTTCTGTTCCTGGGTCGCTGCAGTCAAGCAGATTCTCCAGGTGCAAGCTGAGCCCTGCAGCACCAGGAGGGGTCACGCTTTGCTGTCTCTGGAGACCATGTTTCCACCAAGTGGCTGAAGCAAGGTGCCCAGGCTGTGGCGGGGAGGCGCTGTTTCAGAAGGTGTGCGTCTGGGACCAGGCGGGGTGCTGCTGCGGATGTAACTTGTTCTCTGTGTCTTCATTCCAGTGATGTTATTCTCCAAGTGTAGACACCTTCGATTCAGCTGCGTACCCACACCACTGTTACGTTCTTGTTAGTAATTCCTATTTCTTGTTTAGTTTCCACACAAGACAGGGCTTGCCTGTAAAACCCACTGACAAAGGCAGCATTCTACATTTAGTGGAGAGATGTTATCTGCAAATCACAGGGAAGGGGTCACACCAAGTCCTCTGTTGATGGACTAAGCCACAGGAAAGAAGTGAAGTGCACGAGTCGCTGAGAAGCAAAGCCGGCTGGCTCTCTCTAGCCAAAAGCCCCGGCCCACAAGGGTCCTGCGCGTGGCGGGTAGCACGGCCGCGTGCCTTCGCGGCTGAAGGAACCGCGGCTGGAACCATCTGCTCCCGTCCTGAGACAGTAATCTTCTGAGGGCACGGGTGTGCTTGCACCACACCCCCCTGTGACCCTTCTGGTCACATGTGACCAGAAGCACACGTGTCCCTTTGGCTTTCAAATACGAACTTGAGCTGGAGCTCAGGCACCGCCCCGGACGTCCACCCACTTTTCTGGACGTGGAGACTGCGGCGCAGGGAGGGGTTCTGTGAGGGCCTCGGCGGCAGGCGGCAGCTCGGGTCTGGGGCTGTGAGCCCAGGGCCCCGTCTGTACGACAGGTGTGGCCTTGGTGGCCCCTGGCGCCCTGGGGCAAGGCCTCGGGCAAGGGCCCTCTGGTCCTGTCCACTGCGCTCACTGCTGCCTCACTGGGACTGGCATCCTTGCTGGGTGAGGCTCCCTGCAGGGTTCTGGGAAATTTGGCCATTCCTCAGAGTATCAGCCAAGTACTTCAAGTCAAGTTCCTAAGACGACGTTACTGGAGCCCTCCCAGGTCCTGGGCGGGCTTGATGCTTGCAGAGACACGGTTCCCAGGGGGACGGGGTGGGGGCCGCACATGGGAACTCTGTGCTCCCTGTGCAAGTGTTCCGTAGACCTAAAGCTGCCCTGAGAGGTAAAGGCTGTTCCCTAAAAAGAAGACAGTGTCAGTGCCCCAGGTGGTTACAATCAGCACCATCCCTAGCCTGATGGGAAGTTTGTGCAAATTAGCACAGGTACCTCTTTCTTACAGCCTTTTTTTTTGCCAGCAACCAGGATGTGGTACTGATAAATGTACAAATATTATGTATGTGTATATTTACAAGCACAGACATGAGACTGGGAGGGGTACGGCGCCCCTAGTGTTGTGCAGTGGACAACCTGCACAACAGTGCACAGCAGCCCTCCTTCACCGTCCGTCCACGGGGCAGGCCAACACAGACCAATTACTAGACCGAAAGGTGAGTCAAACCAAGTCCAATAACAAGAAGACAGAAGTGTGGGGAGGCCGAGGACAAGGATGACAAACAGAATAAGGACAGGAATGGGGACCGGCTGGCTGCGGGGAGGTGGACGCAGCCGACGCTGACTCGGCCATGGAGGAGCCGGGGCCCATGTGCACCATGGGGCCACACGGGACACCCAGTTGGTCTCACGACTCTCCTGGGGCAACACATCCACCGGGAAGCAATGGCCCTCTTCACTCCAGCGTCACCGCCGCCGAGAGCAGCCTTGAAACACATGCTGCTCCCCAATACCGTGGCCTGGACCCCAGCACAGGGCTCGAGGGGGCTGTCTTCCAGCACCGGGGCCTCAGGCTTCCACGTCCTGGCTTAGCCCTCCTGCCCTGCTCACTAGGCAAATGCACCGGACGGCCTGGCCCCAGGGAGTGCCGCCCCACCGTCCACGTCACATGAGTCTTTCTGAACAAGCTACAACGAACACCTCGGCAGAGGAGGAGGGGGCCTGGGAGCCTCGCTGCCTCCAGCCTTCCCGCGGGAGCAGGAACAGAAACCCAGAGAGAGGCGGTCGGTGCGGCCACACCGTCCACAGGGGTTACTTTTTCGCCCAGCCCATCCACGGACAGTCTGCAGGAGGAAGGCCCGAGGGGCCGGAGCTCGGACACACGACCGTCCTGCCGTGGAGCCCCTGGGAAGCGGCGGCTCGAAGACAGAGTTTAAAACTGACGGCGATGTTCCTTTCCACCGGGGCTTCCAGGAATTCTCCATCTTCATTGCAGCTGTGCTGTTTGCAGATTGTCACGTGAGCAGCAAGTGAGCAAACACACCCATGGACGTCACACCCGCCAAGCTCAGCACCGCGGCCGAGTCTCAGAGACGTGAGTGGTGGGGGCAGGCGGGCCTTCACTGGCAAAGCAGCCTCCACCGAAGAAGGTGTATGGACGGCCAGTAACCACCTGGAAAGATGTTCGACACCACTGGTCATCCGAGAACTTCAAACAAACTGCAACGAGGTCTGTACGCCTGTGAGAACGGCTAAGGTGAGAAAGAAAAACCTGACAACAGACCCGCTGGCAAGGACGCAGACCGCCCCACACTCGCATCTGTCGTGGGGGAGAGGTGAGGAGCAGGTGCAAAGGCCAGTCTGCCAGCCTCCTTGGCCGTTTCTTACCAAGTCGAGCAGACCCCACCCTGCGTCCGAACTATCCCACCACCAGGGGTCGAACCGAGAAAGGGGAAACTTACCGTCACATAAACATAAATCCATCTTAGACGCATTTTTTTAAGTGAAAGAGGCCAGACTCAAAAGCGGCCTCTTACATGATTCCACTTATGCGACATCCTGGAAAAGTCAAAAGACGATCAGGACGGAGAACAGATCAGCGGATGTCGGGGCGAGGACGAGGGAGCTTGGGCAAGTGACGCTTGAGAACTGCACGTCAGAAAGGGTGACTTTTAACAGCATGGGGATTCCTCAAAAGACTGAAAACAGACGTGCCCTGGACCCAGCAGTCCCGCTCCTGGGCATGCATCCAGAAGGAGCCCTACTTCAGGACGACACCTGCGCCCCGATGCTCACAGCAGCACTGTTTACAACAGCCAAGACATGGAAGCACCTAAATGTCATCGACAGATGCCTGGATAAAGCAGCTGTGGTGTATTTATACAAAGGAATACTACTCAGCCATAAAAAACAACATAATGCCGTTTGCAGCAACATCGATGTCCCTGGAGAATGTCATTCTAAGTGAAGTAAGCCAACAGAGAAAGAAAAACACCACATAAGGTCGCTCACATGTGGAGGAGAAGGAGAAGGAGGAGACGGAGCAGACGCATGAGCGTAAACAGGCATAGAAAACAAGCTTGTGGTTGCCAGAGGGGAGGCGGGTGGGAAGGGACAGACTGGGAGATCGAGATTTATAGATCCCAACAGGCATACGTAGAACAGAGAAACCAGATTATCCTGTACAGCACAGAGAGGTAACACAAGACCCTGTGGCAGCTCACGGTGAGAACGATGAGAATGAATGTACGCGGGTTCACGTGTGACTGGAAGCTGGCGCTGTGCACCAGGAAGTGACACAACGCTGTAAACTGACTGTCACTCAACCAAAATTTTTTAAAAAGAGTGACTTTTACTGGATGTACATTTTTTTCTATTAAACTACATCAAAAGTACACATTTCTGGCGGCTTCTAATCTCAGGAAATTCATTTTCCCTTTGGAAGAATGTCATAGAATTCTGTTCTTCTAATAGATAACATTCCTAGAAATGCCGACCTAAATTTCAAAAAGAAAAACAAAAGAGAGCCGCTGACATCGCCAACAGCTTCTGCCGAGCCCCCACGCTGTAGGGTCAGGAGGGAAGGGGGCCGAGTCGGGGCACCTGGAAGCCACAGGGGGCGAAGTGCGAAGGCACTTGCGGCGTCGGGCAGTTTGTTCGCTTTCCGTAACGTGAAGCTGAGGCCGACGAGGCCGACCTTTCGGTCCGGGCCCGCGCGCG